AAAAAATTTTATTTTGAGATACAATATAATGTTATAATAACTACACATTTTTATAATTAATTTTTATTAAAAATATAAATGTTAATTTTAATTAAATCAACTAATTAATTAAAATAATTTACGTGTCAATAATATTAGAATATATATTAATTTTTTAATAAAAATTAATTAAAAAATATATTTATTACTTAATTTATACTTTTAAAATATAATTTAAACAAACTCTTTTAATAATATAACATTTTCGAAGTAAAAAATGTTATAATTTTGACCGTTACAATTACGTTATGACATCTCTCCTATCCAACGTCACGCTTGGCTTCCGCTGACAACTGTTCTTAGCCGTTAGAATCACAAAATTCAAAATCACAACGGTTTACCGCAGAAATCGAAATCAATCTCCAACCCTCGATTTTTTTCGAGATCTGTGTACATACAACAATCAAACGGCATGAATCAAATGAGAACGCACCTTTTCCGCTCTATATATATCAGTTACATTCGCTTGACCCGTCACTCCTCTTCACTACTCAACCGTTTCACTTCCTCTCTCAAACTCTTCTGTGTAATGGCTTCCTTGCGCTTCTTCTTGATCTTGGTCATAGCACTGCTCTTCGCCTCTGCCAACACGCAATCGCCTACACCGTCGCCGTCTCATTCGCCGAAGAAGTCACCGTCTCCCTCTCATACAGTCAAGCCGCCTGCTTCTGCACCGCCTCCGTCGGAAACGACGACTACTCCACCTGCCGCAGAACCGTCTCCATCTCCGTCTTCAATCTCTTCGACGCCTACAGAAGCTCCTACACCAGCTCAGAGCGGCGCTGTTTTGAACAGGTTTACAGTTGCTGGATCTGCCGCTGTCTGCCTGTTCGCAGCCGTTTGGGTTATGTAGATTGCACGGTAGAGTTTAGTGTTTCTCTGTGATGGAGAAACAAAGTGCTTCTGTATTTGTTTATTTTTAATTATTCTTTTATTACGTAATAAAGATACATTTTGCATTTTAATTACGCGTTCTTTTACACAGATGTGCAAACTTGAATGATTTGAAGAACAAAATTTAAACTCAACTGCTAGTACCACATTTTGTTACAAGATTTAACTGGAACGCGTCTCCGTCTTGTGCAAATTAATTTAAAAAGGAAAAGTGAGCAGGATCATATATTTTCTCTTAAATTTTAAGTTATAAGTATAATGTCACTGATTTTCACATTCAAGCTATAAGTTTAATATCACTTAAAATTTTAAGTTTAAGTTTAATTGCAGATTATGTGAAACACATGTTAAAAAAGTTGTCTACCAACATTTTGGTTTAATGTTTAGGTATTCTCAAAATTTTCTGTTCCAAGTCTTACATCATATTTATAAATCTTTCTATTTATGGTTATGATTTATGGCAAATTTTTAGCTAAAAAATAATTATTTTAAATAAATATTATAATTATTTTAAATAAATTTTAATTATTAAAAATAATAATTAATAATTAAAATTTTAGAAATAAAAAATTTAAAATTTTATATAAATATAATATGAATTGTGTAAAAGGGTCATGATCCTAAACATCTCACAAGTTTTGGGCTCAAGATAATCTTTGGGGCGCTCTTAATAAGGCCGAAGCAAGAGCATTTGTTTTATTTCTATTTAAGATCGTATCTGGTCAAAGAAAAGGGGTGGAAGAACAAATTGTCATTTAAGGCGAGAAAAGAAGTGTTGATAAAAGCTGTTTTGCAGGCTATTCCCACTTACTGTATGGGGTGTTTTCATTTATCACAAACCTTTCTGCAATCTCTAAATAGTATCATTAGTAACTTTTGGTGGGGTGACAACTCTAACTCTAATAAGCGAAAAATTCACTAGTTAAGATGGGACTTAATATGTCATCCGAAGAGCTTAGGCGAATTATGATTTCGAGATTTCCAGGCCTTTAATCTTGCTATGCTTGCGAAACAAAGCTAGCGTCTCATGCAGGACCGCTCTTCTTTGTGTTATCAAGTGCTCAAAGCCAAATATTTTAAGAATGATAATCTGCTTGGTGTTGAATTAGGAACAAACCCATCTATGGTGTGGAAAGGAGTCATGACTGGCCTTATTGTTTTAAAAAAAGGCTCGCATTGGTAGATTGAAGATGGAGCTTTGGTGCGTATGTGGCGGGACCAGTGGCTCCTTAATATTGATGTGCTTTCCAATCTTCATGAGGACAGATCTCTTCCAGAGGATGCTAGAGTAAGCTCACTAATTGATTAGCGTGCTTGCTAGTGGAATTTAACGAAACTCCAGTAGGTGTTTTTGAGTGACATTATAGAGAAATTTACACATATTCGATTAAGCAAATAGTGTAGGCATGATCGTTTAATTTGGCAGCATACGACAAATGGTAGATTTACAGTGAAATTTGCATATAGATATGCATGGGATCCTCTTTATGGGTTGAATTTCAATGATTTTGATGATCTTATGAAGCCGGTGTGGAAAGCTGTGTGGCTTATGGACACATTGCCAAAAATTAAGCATTTTTTTTTTCAGAAATTCATTTGGGAAATCTTACCAACTTGAGTGGGTTTGCAAGGCCATGGTGTGGAAGTTGAAAGCTATTGTTGTATTTGTGAACACACTGAGAAATCTCTGCACCACTTATTTTTTAGTTGTCTTTGGAGTGCATGGGTTTGGACAAGTTCTTGCCCTTTCTTCAACAACAGTAACATTACAGTTGACTCTTACTTGGATGATTTCTTGAATTCTTTTTTGGCACTCAACAGCAAAGAGAGGGAATGTGTTGCAGTCACACTTTGGAGCATATGGAACAATAGGAACCATTGTTTGTTTCAGCATAGATGCTCATAACTTGGATTTGCTATCACTTGGATTTGCTATCACTTGGATTTGCTATCACTTGGATCTCCAAATACATAAAGGAATACATCACAGCAGCTATAGTTGATGACCAAATCAAGTTACCAAATGAAACTGCCTCATCAGATGTTTGGCAACTACCAAAGGGGATATAGTTAAAATTAATATTCATGCTGCTGTTCCACAACAACAGAACTTAGTTTGCATGGAAGTAGTCCTTTGGCAACGTGATCGTAAGGTATTAGGGGCTACCCTGCACATTTGCTCTTTTAAGGGATCGATTCTTCGAGCAGAGGTGATGGCAATTAATTTTGCACTATAGGTGGGAAAGGAATTTGGATGTAAAAAGCTGGAAATTGAATCTGATAATATGCAGGTGATAGCTATTGCAAACTCTATTGATGATTGTTATCCTCCTTTTAGTGCTATTGTTGAAGACCTCTGAGCTCGAAAAATTGGATTCGATTCTCTTTGTATCAAGTATGTTAGGAGAAGCTGCAACATTTTGGCTCACAAACCAGCACATCTTCTCTCACCTTCTCCACCTTGGGAGGGGGTTTGGGTTGATTCTATGCCCACCGCTTTATGTAATGATTCTAACTATTGAGCAATAATATAATTCATTTATCAAAAAAATTTTATGTAAAAGAATCTTACTTTTTTTTTTAATTTTATAATGATAAAAAAAAAATCAAGATATCCTAATATTAAAAATTTCAAGATGTTTAATTACAACTATTAAATATGTGAGATATAGTATGAACCTTAAGTTTATTAAATTCATTATACAGTTACTATTAGATATTTAATATTTTTAATAACAAAACATTTTAATTTTCATTTTTTCCTTTTAAAATATCTCTTAATATTTCTTTTATGTTGGCCTACCCCAATAGATTGATTGAAGAGGGATGACCGCCTTTTGAAAGTTAGATGGGCACTAGGAGTCCGTTTACATATCCCTTTGGGTTTTGGTTAATTAATTTGAGCTGGGTTACTAAACAGGCTCG